TCATTTATTAATAAATTAAGATTATAAACTTATATGATTATAATAATATGTGGTATTATATCTATATATAGATCATTTTTATTTTGCAATTTTGTCAAATTAATAATAATAATTTAAAAAAGTATATTTTACAAGATGGACTGTATATTAAAATTGTAGTTTGCTTTATAAATTTATTAAAATATCATAATAATTTTGCAATTTTGTCAAATTAATAATAATAATTTAAAAAAATATATTTTACAAGATGGACTGTATATTAAAATTGTAGTTTGCCTTATAAATTTATTAAAATATCATAATAAAATTATTTTTTATATTATTTCATTAAAAATATTTTAATAAATTCATATAATGAACTATATTTTTAATATGTAATTCATTTTGTAAAGGATAATAATTGACATACTCTCTGATTCAACACACTTAACAACATTTATCGGTTTAAGTATTAAAAAATTAATATTTTTAAATTTAAATTCAAGGCTAAAAAATTTTCAAAAACAAATTTTAATAATTGAACTGATAAGTATTGTTAGATGTGTTGAATTGAAGAATATATTAATAATTTTTCTTTTGTAAAACATAAATTCCTTAACTTATATATAATAACTAAGACTTAGTTTTTAAAAAATGACAAAATTTACTAAACTTATTGAGTTTAATAGGAAAAGCTATACAAAATTTACTTCAAAAGCCGTAAAGCAGTAGTTTTTGGTTTTAACTTTGAGAAAAGTTGAAATCAACCTTTAGAAAAGCTAGAAGTGTTCTTTAAATACACCTTAGGACTTCACCCTAGGCTTCTGTATATTTTTGTAAGATAGAAAAAATGTTTTAGAAGTTGAACTAAAGAGGCTGAGGCTTCATTTACGGAGAGCATTTTTTTCACAAAGTATCTTGACTAAAATTTATTATATATAATTAATTTTAATTATTATTTTATAGTATATTTTTAGTAATTTTAATTAACATTTCACAAATATTTTTTGAGAGTAAAAGATTGAAAAACCTTACATCATGGCACCGAAGAATAATCCTAAACAAAGCCTAAACAATAAACCCCTCATGTTGTGAGCCATGGAACTAACCCAGCAGTCAGCATTGTTGGAACATGAAAACCTCAAGTCGACGAATGTAGACCGACACTCTAAGAGATGGATTAGAGCATGTATAATTGCAAAGCTCTCTTTAGTATTTTGTTAATGTGA